AAAATTCATGTAGTGTTGATCCTATTTCTGTTGCATTGTTTCCGCCGTTGTTTTGATTTTTCAGAATTTTGGAATAACTCATGTGGTTCGAAACATTAGTATGATTTGATCGTGGTCTTGTATTGATTTCTTGAAAGTGTTTTGAAATGTTTTGTATTGGTGTGGCACTAGTTTTGTTATGTAAGGTATTATACATAGTGCGGTAGCTGGTGCATCCTCTATAGTTTGCCGGGTGTGGGCCTCCGCACAAAGCGCATGTGGCTGGAGTGCTTTTTATTTTTTTACATTTTGAAGTTTTATGGTCGCCGCCGCATTTTACATAGACAAATGGTCTGTTGCAATAGGATTTACAGTGTCCATATAATTGGCACCTTGTACATTGTATAATACCATATCTTTTTCTAGGAGATTCCACTGTTACAATTTGATTTAAAATTTTGTTCAGTTTAGAAATTGTGGTGTTATTTTCTGAAGGCTCCAAATCGACGAAAAACATGTTTAATGGGTATTTAGTCTTGTGTTTGCAAGATATTGACAATGTTTCTCACTTTGTAGTTTAGTTTTTCTAGCGCTGTTTTAATTTCGTTAGTATCGGTTGTGTGGTGAATATTTTTTATAACTACTCTGTAGGCTCTCTTTTGTTTAATTTGGTAGGTATGATACACTACGCGTTTTGATTTAAAAAATTGTATGAGCAATTTATATTGCTCGGGTGTTTCGACGTTTATTTTCACTATATCGTCGTGCAATGATTTTGTTTTGTACTGCTCCCTGTTTTTTATTGTGTTGATTTCGCCTATCATGTCAGTGATATCGTCTACGCCATAGACGAAAATGGGTGGTGGCCTTTGAACTGTATTCCTGTTATCGGCTTGCGAGGTCAAAGGGCCTGGTGCTTCTATTGTGTTATCGGCTTGGGTCGCCGGTTTACCTGTTGCGAGAACATTAAACCGGTTTGATGTTTTTATAATGCTGACGTTTTCGATATGACCTGTTGATGTTTTTCGACGTTTGTTAGTTTTGATTGTCTGCCAGCTTACTGCTTGTATAATTTGTTCTGTTTCCATGTGATTAACAGTTTCGGGTGATTGGTAATTAATGTTGTTATGTTGATTAATTAAATGGTTTTGCACGTATGCACTATTTGTTTGCAAGGTCTTTAACATGCGATTAACAGTTTTGGGTGATTGGTAATTAATATTGTTATGTTGATTAATTAAATGGTTTTGCACGTATGCACTATCTGTTTGCGAGGTGTTTAACATGTGATTAACAGTTTAGAGTGGTTGGTAATTAATGTTGTTATGTTGATTAATTAAATGGTTTTGCACGTATGCACTATTTGTTTGGGAGGTGTCGTTCAGTATTTCAATTGATTGTACAATTGGAATAGTTGAACTATTGTCTTCTGCATGATTATTTAGTAACACTGTGATTACACTGTATTTTTTTATTCACTGCACTATTTCTTTATATTTATGTGCCCCCCTAAAAGGGGGGCTTAGTTTCACCATTGTATAGTTTTGGATGGATTGAATATATTTTTATATTACACGGCTCACTAATTTTGTTATGATTGGATAAATATTATTTTATTTTATTGAAGCACTGATCCGAACAGTACGGCTGCTCGAGGTAAACTCACGAAACATATCAATACAAAAATTGGACAGGCTTACGCGTTGTTAAATCTACTGAGACCTCTCTTGAACCACAACAGTTCGCTAAGAGTGAAGAACAAGCGGACACTCTATTTGACACTTATAAGACCGTCACTGCTATACGCCGCTCCAGCATGGAACGCGACGACTAAGACCAACTTACGGAACTACAGACAGTACAAATTAAGACAGTACGAGTAGTACTTAACAAAGTGAGGGACCCACTGACTAGACATTACTACTCTACAAAATATATACATGAACAGACTGACGTATCAACAATACTCGACTCGAAAATTTTTACCAAAAATGTGGAGATCACCCTGATAGCAATTTACTAAAGACATAGTTTGGTATGACAAACACGCCATGCCAAACTATAACTCGATCGACCCATAGCAGCGGATAAATCTTTTGTTTTTTTTTTGTATATTCATTTTTATAAATCTTTTTTGAGGAAAATTTTCCTTTCCTCCCTTTTTTGTCACATGTCACAACTTTTATATTTTAAATACTAAGTATTCTTTTACCAGATTTGACGGATAATATACCTACGGGTAAAAATCCGAACAAAATGAGAACTAGATGGTATTGGTATTTTGCCTTGAGGCAAGTTACATGAACTTTCCGATATGTGTAAATAATCGACCTAATCAATAAAAAATATTTGGTGAGTGATTAAAAGTATTCCGAGTGGATTTATTACACAAAATTAAACACGAATGAATACGTTAACTCGGTGTATTTTCTAAAAACAAATTTTCAAAAATGAGTAATTTTTATAATTGATACAGCTTTCGTAGGACTTTAATGATTATTAGTATATTCATTAAGATCAAATATTCTATCGTTATACCAAGTAAATCGTCTAATTTTAATTTTAACAAACGTCAAAAAAACTACTCATTTTCTCATACTTTGATGAATTTTTATAAATAAACTATTTGTCGTAAGGTCGTAATATTTCAGTAAGTTCTATAAGACCATAGTATATATCACCAAAAAAAGTTCCATAAAAATCGGCAAATTTTAAAGAATTTTTAAAATTAAACGACTTGTCGTAAAGCCGTAATATTTTAGTATGATCTATAAAACTATAATATCTACCGTCAAAAAAAAAATCATGAAAATTGTCCAAAAAAAATTTTTAATAATACTTTATTACAAGAAAACGGCCCGGCCGATCTTTACCAAAAACTAATCAGCACGATTCCCAACCAATATCTTTCGAACAATTTTTGAATTTTCAAAATCGATTCAGAACTGCAGGTTAAAACGTGGACAAAAAATTTTTCACAGCTAAGAAACGGCTTGGCTGATTGACGCGCAAAGTTGATAAACGCTAGTCCTCATCGAGATACATCGAATGGCTTTTAAATTTTTTAAATCGATCCAGCCGTTTTTGAAAAAACGTCGATTTACGGCAAAAAATCTGTTTACATACACGCAGACATACATACACACACACACACATACTTTTCCCAAATTTGGTCTCATTCGATTCAGAATGGCTTGAAACGTCGAGAAAACATAAAATTAGCGAATCCGATTTTCTGATGAAAACAAATTTCTAAATAAACAAACAAATATTATGTACATATTTATATTTATTGAAATACCTTTATTATTCATTCATTCATTAATTTTACATAATTTGGAATATTTAAAATATTTTTATTGAATGAAACTGTTAGCAAATTATTTGTTATATTATTCAAGATAAAGCATCAGGATAGATCTAATAAGAAGTTATTAATGCACGATTTTAAAGTAATTGTTGTTTTTTTTATTTAATTTTCGTTGAATTTTGATTTATTCCCCGGGCTGACATATGTATTGATTGTTTATGTAAACCGAGTTTATTAGCGAATTTCTCCGTGATTAAATTGGATTGTGATCCCGAATCTAATAATACACTGCATGCTCTATATTTATTCTTGCTATCTAGTACGTTAATTACTGCGGATAAAATGATTTGACTTGAATCATTTCCGGTATGGCATAAAACACAACAACAGCTGGTGATTGGCTTGTGTCTTCTTTTATCTGTGGGTCGAGCCATTTATGCTTATTTATGTATGAGATAACTCTTCTTTTATCTATGATACTGATAAAGATATACTCTTCTTTTATCTGTAAGATAACCATTTATATTTAATCATCAAGGGCGATTATTTATTAACTTCCCGTAGGGTAAGTTATAGTAATCGCAAAAAAATCTAAAATGAAAATTTTTATATATCTTTACGTTTCAGAGGTTTCTGAATATTTTGGCATACCTTAGAAAAAATGTATGTATGTGTGTGTGTGTGTGTGTGTGTGCGTAGTATGTATGTGTGTGGATACAAATTTTCGTCAACGATTTCGGGAACACGGATGAAGTAATTTGAATAATTTAAAAAACATTCGATCCGTATTGATAAGGAGACGTGCTGATTAGTTTTTGGCGGAGGTAGGTCTAGCCGTTCCGAAGATATGGGGCAAAAAGTGCCAAAAACGGTACCTCAGTTTTTAATAGAACGGAGCGTCCGATTTTAATAATTCAAAAACCATTTTACTTGTATTGACAAGATGAAGATTTGATCAAATTTTTATAAGGGCAGGTTTAGCGGTTTCGGAGATCTAACGAAAAAAGTAAAGAAAAATGCCATTTGGCGGTCAAAAATGATCATTAGACATATGCACATCGAATTATCAGATATTTTATAGAGATTTTAACAATAAGTATAAATTTTGTTTACATTCCTATGGGTTCCGTACCAATGTTTACCCGTTAGACAGCGACGCGGCGCTTACGCGCTTTATATTTTGTCTCTATGCATTTAAAGCAGTACGATTGCTTTGAAAAAAAGTTCAGATCTTCCAACATATGTTAAATAAAAATTAAATTTTTTTTTTCAATTTTTTTTTTTCAAAAAAAAGTAATTTTTTGTCAAATTTATAGTTTCTCAAAAATATTATTTTTTCGAAGTAATTTTTTTTCAAAAATGTTAATGGTTTTTAAAAAAAATAATAATTTTTGGTACGGGAAGTTCCAGCAATTTGCCTTAAGGCACGATGCCCTAATTGCCTTAAGACAGAATTCCACTTACAGCTAGTTTATCTATTTATCTATGGCGATAGCCATGCGATAGTCTTCATGCTTATTTATCTATGATAGTCTTATTTATCTTTGCGATAAACTGCGCTCACTGCGCTATAACGGACGAATCATTCCCTATCTATAAAAACGTAAAAATGAAGTAAGTGTATCGTATATATATAATGTATTGTCTATGGACCCATCTGTCAAAGGAAAGCAATGAACCACGAAAAAACCCTAGATAATATGAAGAGACAATAAAGAAAGAACCTTGTTAAAATGTTTCGTGGGAGGCTTTCTTTATAATTTTTTATTTATCAAATTTCAGTAATTCAAAAGCCTAGTGATAAATTTTTTAAAATGGCATCATATTCCAGTAGAAACGGTCCTCAAGAAAATACAATTGTACAGTTAACGTAGTGAAACAAAGGAAAGCAGTTTTCTTTAGAAATTTATTAAAAAGTTATTCTTTTGTAGACTATCATAGGTCAAGGAAATAGGAATCCAGAGGCTCCTTATGAATGTCCAGTGTGTCTTAACTGGTTGAGGGATCCTTCCTTAACCTCTTGTGGCCATCGTTTTTGTAGAAAATGCATTAATTCATGGTTACAGTAAGAATGTAATATAAGTAATTCGAACCTTTTTAATTTTTTAACAACTTTTTTTTGTTCTATGTTATAGTCGAGAAGGAAAATGTCCAATAGATCAGCAACCATTAAATTCTGAAACAGACATTTTCCCAGATAATTTTACCAGAAGAGAAATTTCTCAAATCAAGTCACCTTGTTCATTTACTGCTTTTGGGTGCACAGCAGTTTTGCCTTCATTAGATATAGATTCTCATGAAGCTAATTGTCTATATAGATCAAAATCAGAGAAGAGTAGTTTGGATGAACTTACTTGTGCATTTAAATCATTAGGATGTGATGATAAATTTAGTAATCAAAAGGATTTGGATAATCATTTGAATATTGATATAAAAGATCATCTAAATGTAAGTATATAGATATGGTAATGATATAACAACTTAAAATTTTACTACTTCAAATAAAAATAACAAATTGATTTCAACCAATTTGTATCAAATATGTGATTAATTGTGAGATTTGATAGTTGATATTTGCTAGTTGCTGATTTGTGATATATACATTCTGAATCTAATTTAATATGCCATTCCAAAAAAAATTAGGAATATCAATCATTAATTAGTCTCACAAATTTTAAAATACATTTCATTTTCACAGCATCTGATCAATTTGGTCAATAACAAATTATTCCACTTACGTGACACTTAATGTAAGGTAAACGTACCATATTACAGGATGTTAAGGAATGTTTGACTTTAAAGACGAATTTTAGAGAAAATAGGAAAGTGGACGAACTAAATCTGTTATATTTTATTAATTAGACTTTTAAGATTATTATAAAACAAGATTTTTTGTCGTAGAACGTCATTTATAGAAATAATCGGCATTTTGCTGAACCACGCGTTTGTCCCTAATTCCGTGATAAAATTCGGCTCGTGAATATAATGCCGGGAGTCGTTGTACGTTATTCCGTGATAGCGCACGATGCTTACATTTTTGATCGTATTGCCTTGATAAATATAGTTATAAAAAAGGGTTATTAAAAGTGCGGTTAATTATGAAATAATACTTTGATATGATTTTTAACATTTATTTAGTTTTATAAAAGTCATAAAATTATAAGAAGTTAAAAAACTTCTAAAATAAAAATAAAATAAAAGTTGGTATTATTATAGTAATAGCAGTATAATTATCATTATCAATACTGTTTCGGTAAATCAAATAAATGAAACAATAAAGGAATAATTTTTAACGGCAATTAAACAAAAATATAAACTTAAAATAAATATAAAATTTAAACTCAAAGTAAAAAAATTAAACTTGTAATAAAAGTTACAATTCTGTCAACAAACATAAATCTTTAAAGACTTTACAATAATCTTTAAAGACTTTCAAGTTAACAATAACTACTAGCTCAAATTAGGTTTGATTGGGAATTTTGTATGTTTTAGAAGCTTTAAAATACATTTAATATAATATGGCAAATTTCTTTTGAAGCCTTTTTTCCGGGTTTTGGGTGAATATTTAATTGGAGCCATCGTTCTTTGAAAAACTAAAAGTCCGATTTGAAATCATACCCAAATAAATTTACTGATCTTGAATATAATTTTAATAATATTTAATAAATTATATTAGACTATTAGAAAGTTACTGCATTGAAGAGTAGCCTCGGCATCTTATTTTCGAGTAATTGCAATTCATATTAATTTAATAACTTACGATGTATGTTTGTTTTAATAATATGCAGGTTATATAATGGTTATATTCCGAAAGCTTAATTGGATTAAAACTATCGTGTAAACAGGAATGAAACATAAAATTGATTTGCCAGACGTTTTCTGCGGTAAATTAATTTTTTGTTTCTTGACCCTTAATGAACATAATATTAAAATTACAGACGTACTAAATTGATTTGAATTTAAAACAAAATTAATGAATAAATTGGCGTCTGGCACATATTTGGCAGCGCCCAAAAATGTCTGGCAACAAAAATGTGAATCTGGATAACTTATTCAAAGTCAAAAAATTAAAATTGGACTGAAAAAATAAAATGCTATAAACTAGTATCATATTGTCAGACATTTTTGCTTGCCAGACATGGTTAACAACCGCAGAATCGTCTGGCAAATTAATTTTACGTGTTTTTACCCTTAACGAACATAATACTAAAATTTCAGACGGACTAAAATGATTTGAATTATTAAAAAAATTAATAAATAAATTGGCGTCTGGCACATATTTAGCAGCGCCCAAAATGTCTGGCAACAAAAAATTTGAGTCTGGTGAACCTATTCGAAGTCAAAAAAAACGAAAATTGGACTAACTAAAATGCTTTCAAAATTTTGAAATCGCGCTGTACAGATTGGCTGCGCACTAATTAACGCAACCACTTCCAGCTGCCAGACGGCGCGTACTCTAACCAAGAGAGCACCAAGGACCACATACCAAAAAACCAGCCTGACTAAAATGCTGGCTCGAAAACGTTGCTACCTCCCGTACTATAAGGATCTTAACTGTCCGTAAAAAATTTGATTAAGAAAAACATCTAACATTGTTTGAAAATTATGAGCTTTTAAGGTCAACCTAGAGCTTTGCAGAAATTATGGCCACTTCTTGGTTGTTGTGGTTAGCTTTTATTAATTTTTATCTTTTAAACTTAGGAACCGTAACTGTAAATAACATTTCCATAATTGCTAATGCTCTCGAATCCTTTTGTTCCGCATAAGCTTTTGGCAGGTTCCTAGTTTTACTTAAAAATGATGAAAGATAGTTAGTTATAGATATATTTTCTATGACTAAGCGAAGCAAATACTGACGCCACTTTTACTAAAATCATCATAAATAAGTAAAATTAATGTAATAATAAATAATTTTAACTTAGTTTAGTTTAAGTTCATTGAAATAAAAGTCACACAGAAAAATACCATTTTTTTATTATAATAAATGTTCAAAATGCTTTCCATCTGCATCAATAAATGCCCTATATCTTCAATAAAGATCTGTTTATTAGCCGGTTAGTAGCATCAGTATTCGCTTCGTTCAGTCATAGAAAATATATCCATTATCTATCTTTCAAAACCGATGTTCGCGGTTACAGTGGCAAAATTTGAATGAACACAATTAGTGAAAATTTACCACAATAACCAAAAAATTGTGATTATTTCAGCAAAGATCTAGGTTGCACTTAAAAGCTCATAATTCCTAAACAACATGAGACATTTTTTTTTCAGGACAGTTAAGGTCAATACTTCTGGCTTGACGCCAAGGTCTGGGACACCCTGTATATATATACATATGTATATGTAACATTCGTATTCTCTTTAGAATTGATTTTCTTTTCTTTGATGTTACTGATCTTGCTGCATTATGTGAGAGAATTAGTAGTCATAGAAGTACAATAATGTATTTTTATTAACGATGTACGTGAACGCAACACTGAAATTAAAAAAAAACTAATGATTATTTGTTATTTACAAAAAACGTAAATTGCTGTTAAAATCTTTAAATGATCTTAAATTCGTCGTATTATTGGTTGCATTGTTTATACTCATTCTTTACAACTTTTATTTACTAAATTTGATAATAAAATATTATAATTAAAATGTGTATGAAAAAAATTTAACTGAAGAATTTAAATAATGAATATCATATATAAAAATACTCTAATATTATATTAAATATACTTTATTCTATACCATATACTAAGTCACTCAATTATTTTATATATAAAAATAGTGCTCTTGATCAAATTATCCGCTAAAACTCGAAAACGGCTAAACCGATTTGGCCAGTCTTAGTCTTGAAAAATTCGTGCCAATCCAGAGATTATCGGAAAGGTTAGATAATATTTCTAAATCGCGTAGAAACTTTACCTTTTTAATTTGAAAATTTTTGTAGAAGCCTAATTTGAAGAAAACAATGGACGGTGGTCAATACGTCAAATGTCAAACGTTTTTGACATGTGGTGTTTAATTACGTTTAATAGGATGTTTTACGTGAATAATACTTGATTATGATAAAATTGTCGTACTCGTAAGTAGCCTAGACAATATTAGGGGTTCGTTCCATCCGAGCCAATCTGACAGTCCGAAACTGTTTCAAACTAGACCAAACCATAGACCTTATACAATTTCAATTGTATTGTATAAGGTCTATGGACCAAACTCATTCTAATTTTTTCATGGCAGTTGGCAATGGTTTGGTTTGGATACATGCAACGCGTTTCGAACTGGAAGCTCCTTAAGGTGCGTCCACATCTAACGAACGAACATGTCGAACTAGAAAATACAAAGAAGAACGAACAGGAACACGAACGAACGCGAATAATTCCAAACAAATGCCTCAAAGCAGTGAGGGCTTGAATCTTTTTGTTCGAGGATGTACCGTGAAACGTCAGATTTATTATTTAAAGTGGCGGGAAAGAGCAAAATTATTTAAAGTCATCAAATTTACAAAATTAGTCAATAACAGCAATATCTTATAATAATCACCACATAAACTAATGACTGCACATTTTAACATCAAAAAAGAAAAATGTTTTTCTATATTCGTGGTAGCGTCCACACTGCACATGCGAGTTCAAACATGAACGAACAATTCCCTTTGATGTACCGACAAGTTGAGGAACATTGCTCGCCTTGTTTGTTTATGTTCGTTCGTGATCGTTGTGGCTCCACACTATGCTGTTGCCGTTCGTTCTGGTACGTTCAATTATGTTCGTTCGTGTTCGTTCGTTAGGTGTGGACGCACCTTTACGCCCGTTCATCGTTTGATGTTTGATCATACATAAGGAATAAGTTTTTCTTTATCTGAAGATTAATCATTTCGACTTTCACTTAATTTTCCTTTTTACCTTTTTTATTGCATTAAATTCCAACAACTATTTTTGTTAATTTGAATGCAACGCGTTTCGAACTCGGAGCTCACTCCAACAACTATTTTTAATTTAGTTAATTTGAATAATTTTCACCATTAACTTGTAATATTTTACAGATCATATTTTAATAATAATAATTATTATTATTATATATAATAATAATTAATATTTTAATACATATATATAAGTTTAATATATATATATATATATATATATATATATATATATATATATATATTGAATGGTAGAGTCTTGGATTTGTGTATATTTTGTAGAGTTTCGAACAAGAATGCAAAAAGTAATAAAAAACAAAAAAAAAAGTTTTTTAAATAAACTATTTCTTTAATTATTTATTTATTTACTGTCGACGTTTCGGAACTAGGTACGTTCCATCTTCAGGACATCTGTCAAGAAACATGATCTTGATGAGATTTAAGCAAACAATATGTTTGAGAAAAGAAAATGGATTTTTCTTAATTAATAAATTAGTTGAAAAAAAATAATAATGTACAGAAATGTGATAATATGCTC